TTAAGAAAGTGCAAGTGTTTAGGTGTTTTGTCAGAGGTAGGAGATTTTCTTCCATAGATGCTAATTTAACAACAAACATTTGCTGATAAAAAAAAAAAATCAAAATTTAAATTCAACTCCTGTATTATAGAAAATACATTTTTCATGATTTTAAATTATGATTAAGTGTTATTGTTTTTTTTTTTTTATATCAATTGTGTGTACTAATATTATTCAATTTTTAAATATGATGCACATATATTTAATGAATATAAGTTTTAAATTTTTTTTTTAAGTGTACAGACACATTGAAATCACGAATGAAGAATTTATCGTGTACACTTGTGAAAGTTATGAATATTGATTATGTTATAAACATTGTGTTATATTATAAATGATGTGGTTTAAATATTAAGATCATTTTGTAGTGAAAAAATGTCATGAATCATTTTGACGAAAAAAATTATAATTCCTTGAACCAAAAAAAAATTATACCTTCTTAAGAAAAACTGGTGGTAAATCTGCTTTATGGAGTGTATATAACATTAAGTCCAGATTTGTTTTTATTTTAAGAATATGGTTAATAAAATATATTAGTAAAAAGTACAAATCATTATTTTAAATAAATTTTTTTTTTTGTTTTTTTTCTATACTTTTCTCTCTATATTCTCACGGAGCAATGCTATAGACCACTAATTTATCATCACTAATACCACCACTAGTGAGGTGGCAATTCAAAAAAAAAAAGAAAAAAAAAAAAACAAAGCACAAAACACATGTGGCAGTGAGTGGGACTCACTGCCACCACTAATTAGTGATCTAAAGCATTTTTGATTCTCACGTAGTAGAAGCTGACGGCCGACTAATAGGTTGTGACTGACAGGTTATTATTTTTAATATAAATATTTTCTATGTTCTTAAAAAAAAAAATAATAATAGTAATATAATCTTCTAAATTATTGTTGTGTGACGCCCAAAATTTTTTTTTTGAAACGTCGTAAGATTTAAATAACGATAACTCGATAGATAAAGTTTTAACTACTAATTAGGAACTTTTAAGTTCTTACATAGTCAAAGTCCAACAACAAAATAAAACTACAAGTTCACACACAACGTCACAACATAGTTAAATCCTAATACAAGGGATAACAAGATTTTATTTTGATAAAATCTTGACTCTAAGTCAGCCAAGGTTCGATATTGGCAGCAGCTCCAATTTCAGCCTCAGTCCCTTCTTCGACATAATCTGGCATGAAACGCCAGGGCAACAAAATATGTGCTATGAGTTTTGCAACACAGTAAGAAAACGTAACTAACCTACCATTCTTTTTAAGAGAAAAATAATAATATTCTAAATATGAGATAGCAATATAATTATACACAGAAATTACAACCATTAGAATAATTTCAGTAATTTTAATAAATTAGGTGACACTCGAAATCTCACCAAAGAGATTTAACTTACCAACCACTAAGCAAGGCAACGGTTAATTTGAAACCCTCCCTTGGTCAAATATTTAAGTGTTACCAACCGTAACTACTAGGGATGCCCACGTCCGGAGCTATATACCCAAGTAGTGGCATCCGTGGTCTACCCCAAAGAAACGGTCTGCCAGGGGTAAGTAACCTTCCTGTGTGCCACCTGCACATCCACCCTTATTCCAAAACCGAATACCGAAAAGGGATCAAATAAGTCCCGTGCCATCTTAGAGTTTCGCAACACAATTTACGTGAGAATTCTCAAAACCATGGCTCACCCTGAACAACCGGTATTAACCGTCAATCCTTTGATTTCATACACTCTTTAAAACCAAGACTCACTCTGAAAACTGGTATTAACCGTCAATTGTTAACTTTGTATGTGCCTTTAATCCTTTCAGTTAATTTTGATATTAATCATAAATAATTTCAATTTTTAATTACAAATGATGTTATACCAACTCATTAAAAATCTCAACATAAAATGTTACACATGTCACACAATAATAAATAAATGTACAACATTTAAATAAATAATTCATTTAAATCATGGTATGAAATAATAATTTGGATACAAAGAAAATAAACCAAAGTCACACACGTGCATGGATTTTTAATTTACAAGATTAGACTACCACAATATTAAATAAACCACAATACACCCATACATGGATTACTAATTTACTATATTTGATGGATTGGACCAACACAATAACTGGTTTTTATCCAAATAAATAATTGAAGTGATGATCTTAAACCTGTCTAGAAATTTTCAGGTTATACCTTAGGTAATAAAAATTATAAATAAATTATTTATACAGTTTTAATATTCAATAAATATGTTTGGGTCATTTTTCAGAAATAAATTTCCAAAAATAAGTTACAAATAATTCTGTAAAATTCCCAGAAATTTTATGACACAGATTTATCACATTTCCTTATTTTAATTTCATGCTTAAATTTATAGATCAAACCCATAATATAAAAATTTATCATGAAACTAGACTTCTCAAATTTCATCTTTTAGTTAGAAATTACCAGATTTGGCTTAGTATAAAATTTATTTAAAATTTTATACTAAGCCAAATCTGGTAATTTCTAACTAAAAGATGAAATTTGAGAAGTCTAGTTTCATGATAAATTTTTATATTATGGGTTTGATCTATAAATTTAAGCATGGAATTAAAATAAAGATTTAGTTAAAATTTTGTATAAATTCGTAGAAAGCTCAAAAATTGTTTCCAAAAATTTCTGGTTAAACTAGACATCATTATCAACAACTTTGTAGAAGAAATCATCTTGAAATTTTGAGTATAAAATTGTCTAAAAATTCGAGCAACATTCTGGCAGATTCAAAACGGACTATTTTCATCACAGTTTCAAATTTAGTTAAAAATTTGTATAAATTCGTAGAAAGCTCAAAAATTGTTACCAAAATTCTTGGATGAACTAGACAACATTATCAACAACTTTGTAGAATAAATCATCTCGAAATTTTGAATATAAAATTGTCTAAATATTCGAGCAACATTCTGGCAGATTCAAAACAGACTATTTTCATCACAGTTTCAGATTTAGTTAAAAATTTGTATAAATTCGTAAAAAGCTCAAAAATTGTTGCCAAAATTCCTGAATGAACTAGACATCATTATCAACAACTTTGTAGAAGAAATCATCTTGAAATTTTGAGTATAAAATTGTCTAAAAATTCGGGCAACATTTTGACAGATTCAAAACAAACTATTTCATCACAAAATTCCTACACATATATATAAAATTTTTATTTATGAGTAGTCATTTTAATCACAAGAAAGTAATCTGAAAGTTTCACTAATAAAAAGAAATGAGAGGGTTGAGAGGGTTTTCTTACTAAAATCTTCAATTAATGAATTTTTGACCAAATCTTTAACTCCTCTTCAATTCTTCACTTTCCCAAGCTATTTCCTTAGCCTTTCTTTACCATTTCCAACACATGAATTCTAAGCTTTGAAATCTCTCTCTCAACAATGTCTCAACTCTTAAACCCATTTTTTTTTTTTTTTTTTTGTGAAATGCTCTCAGCACAATTTACAATACATACACCTCATTCTTCCATTACACACCACGTGTGCACATGGACACTAACACATTTCATTGAGGCTCCAGCACATCACTCACATGCACACACACCCACAGCAGATTTCTCAATACACCCACACCCATAAACACTCTCACTTCTAGACTCTTACATAATTCAATTTATATTTTTGCTTAATTTAATTGAGCAACACTTAATTTTAATAAATCTTGATTAACACATAATTAAATTAATCAAGCATAATCACAAATCCCACATAATTTAATTGGTCTAATTTGACTTCCTAATTAATTTTGTTTAATTTTATTATTCTGAATCAGATTTCAAATCAAACTCCCAAAAGGCTCCAAATATCAAATTAAACTTATTGAGCTCATCAATTTTGGTTTCTCAAACCTTTAAGGCCTTCAATTTCAGATCAAACTCAAAATCTTCATCTATAAATTACGTATTCAATTGAGCACCTCATAAATAAATTTAGTTCATAATAATCTAAATTATCAAACCTCACAACTCAATTAACTCCAATTCGGACCCAATTGATCAAATCTTAGTTTTATTAAACTGAATCGAATATTTAATTACACTTTCATAGGGTCCAATACTTGAAATTAAACTGATTTAACTTATCAATTTCACCTCCTTAGGCTATTTGGACGTTCAATTTCTAATTCTAAAATAAATCTTTAATAAAATAATTTATAAATAACAAATATTAAACACCCACAAAATTATTATTATTTATTTATTTATTATTATTATTATTTTTTATCCTTGTTAGTGATTGAATTGGATTAATTTAAAACTAACTTTTACACTAATACATATTTCAGATAGACTCTGGATAAAATTAATTAATTTATGTATTTATATTTTTTTAAAAATAACAAAATGTGGGTTTTCACATGTTGTCATTATAAATCAAATAAAATTAAAATTAAAATAATTACTTTGAAAATTTCAAATTCAATAATGCTTGAGACCACTAAAAGTAGTGCTCTAAAAGCATCACTAGTGATGTGACAGTGGGGACGGGACCTACTGTTTGTGTCTTGTTTTTATTTTTTATTTTTATTTAAAATATTTGCCAACTCATTAGTGGTGCTTTGGAACACCACTTTTAGTCGGATGTATCGTTACCGTATTCAAAATAAATTATGGATCCTTAAAGATGAGTTCATAACATTTTTCAATTAAGTTAGGCACATTGTAATAAGCTAATAATGGTATGTAACTGCAGTTGTAACGAAAAATTAAGCAATGTGTGGTTGGCGAACAACCTTCATACGATTCATGAGTCATAAAATTGATGTCTAACTCCCATTTTTAAGTTCGGCAAAAAAAAAAAAAATCCCATTTTTAAGGTACTCGTGTTGATAGATAGTGACGTGAGTACAAATATAGGTCCTTGTTTCTTGTCATCACCATCATCATCTCACAAAAGGCAATCTGCGAGAGAGAGAGAGAGAGAGAGAGAGAGAGAGAGAGAGAGAGAGGAAACATGGCGGTGGTAGAAAGCAAAGAGTGGTACTTATCTGCTTATGTATTAGACGGTTTACCAACGTCCGATCATCTGAAACTCCGATCGGTGAACTTGTCATTGGCTGCTGATTCAATCCCTGACCAACACGTGGCTCTTGAGATCCTCTGGATCTCCGTTGATCCATATCTACGGTCCATAATGTCCGGCCAAGACGACGGCCTGTCCTTACCCCAGTTTCAACTGAATCAGGTTCACACATCACAAACCCCACGCTTTGTATACAGTCCTGTAGTTACAGACGATTTCACATTCTTTTGAACTTTTTATTTATTTACAAAAAAATGCAGGCAATTACAGCGTTTGGGATAGGAAGGGTAGTTGGAACAAAGGACAATAATTTTGCGGAGGGTGATGTTGTTGTAAACCCTTTATCTCCCATTGCTGAATACTGTGTGGCATCTGCTGCTTTCCTCAGAAAGATTGATACATCTGCTGGGATTCCATTGCCTGATTACCTCAATTCACTGGGTATTCTTGTTGTTCTCTTGTGGGAAATTATTACATGATGGAAAATTTTGATAAAAAAAAATTAATAGAAATAAGAGAAATGTTACTGATCATGAAAAAAAATATCATAGAAATGTTTTATGAAAATTTTTCATTCTTTAATTAGTTTGTAGTGTTTTGTTATAGGTGTAATCTAAGATTGGAGAATTTTCATAAAGCATTTCATGATCCATAACATTACTCTAGAAATAATATGTGAAGTTATGATTTATCATTTTAAATCAAAATATTTGTCAATATTAGTATTACTATAATTTCAGAAATTTTACTAAACATTAATATGTGTTTTAGATTTATTTTATACACGAATCTCACAATTCACACTTTTAATTATTACCACACGCTAAATTTAGGCCCTAAAGTCTCTGTCCTATTTTGATAATTAGAGAAGAAAAAAAAAAAAAAAGTCAATTTATTGGCTTATTTAGGTTTGCTTTGAAATGTTGGTTGAAAATTAATATTTCAGTCCCGTTAGGTAACCCGAATCTTCCGTGGCTCGAGGTGCCAAAATGATGTCGTTTTGGCACCTTTTTTTTTTTTTCTTCTTTCTTTTTTCCCTTTCTTCCTCCTCTGTCTGTATCTGTTCTTCCTCATCAATTTATACATAGTCCCAATTTTGAACTGCATAAGATGAAAAGAGAGGAGAGAACACAAAAAGACAAAAAAAGAGAGAGAGAGGAAATCAACCTCTGATGAACTGCAGTTGCCATTTTATGTAGTTGCCATATATATTCAACCTCTGATGAACTGCATATATATATATATATATATCTATATTTTCTTTTCTTCTTCCACAGAATCAATAAAAGAGAGAGGAAAAATAAAAAAAAAAAAAAATCAAACATCAAAAATCAAACCCAATGGAAGAAACAAAAATCAAAACAAACCCCAAAAATTCCAAAAATCAAAACAAATCCACAAAAATCCCACAAATCAAACCAGAAATCAAACCAAAAATCGACAGCCGAGCCCCTCTCTCTCTCTGTGTGCATCATCACCAACAGAGAAGGGAGAGAAGAAAGAGAGGGGACGGTTCGACCGAACTGGCTGTGGGGAGATTGGAGGTGGTAGCGACGATAGCGGCGATGATCAACAGCCAAGCCCCCCTCTCTCTCTCTGTTTTGTGTTCCCTCTTTCTCTCTCTCTCTCTCTCTCACATTCTCGCCTCTGTGTTCAAAAGGAAGAAGAAGAAAAAAAACAAAGAAAAGGAAGAAAAAGAAAAAAAAAATGAAACCCAAAACGACGTTGTTTTGGATTTCGAGCCACAAATTCGAGCCGTTGATTTCGGACCCTCAATCAATTTTCTTAATATTTTGACTATTTTTTAGTTTTTTTTTTAAATAAATGTAAAAAAACGTAAAGATATGATATGACTTAAAATAGATTAAAAAATTTAACTTTTAATCATGTTCCCAAATTATCACATTACCTCTCATTTTTTTTATTATATTTTTTTCTTAAAGAAATCAAAAATTAGTTTTTTTGTTCTTCCAATTCTCAAAATAAACCTGTCTCTAGATTTTATATGACTTTTTATTTTAAAAATATTACTGTCACATAATTTTGATTAAAAATCGTTTAAGTAATAAATTTTGTAACAACATCAATTTTAATGCAAATGTATAGGACTCTCTGGGTTTACTGCATGGGTGGGGATAGAGGTGCTTGGAAACCCTAAGCCAGGATCGAATGTTTTTATATCGGCGGCGGCTGGAGGAGTTGGAATGGTGGCCGGAAAGTTAGCGAAACTTAAAGGCTGTCGAGTTGTTGGAAGCACGGGATCAGATGAAAAGGTACAAGTCACCACTTTTTTGCATGTCACTGTCGCTATTTTTATATGGGATTGCGACAAGGTTAATCATTCCTAGTACTCCAAAAAAGCAATAAATAAATAAAAGAAACCAAATTGCTAATGAACTGATGGTTGATGATTGGATTAAGAAGTGGACTTGTCTGTCTTCAATCTTCAGACAGTCCAGTTTTTTGTTTCTCTGTAGGTTTATCATTAACAACAATGATTCATCCTCCTTTTCTTTCCATCCCTTTGACCCTCTCTCTCTCTCATTGGTTACATTTTCTTTTTCTTTTTCTTTTTTTTCCTGCTCCTCCAATCACCACCTCATTTTTTAAATATTTATATATAGATTATTTTTTTTAATAAGTGTAATAGCATGTTTTGAGTATATTTGTCTTTAAGAAATATATTACAACCTTACAAGTATAAATTTAAAAATATACCGTTTACAAAATTATGTAATTAGATCAATTTAATCCAAACTAGACTTGTAACATGCCACAAACCCAAATTTGTAACTTATTGTTAAAGAAAAATGCCCATATAAAAAAAAATGTTAAAGAAAATGATATATAAATTCACTTTAGAAATTTATTTTTTAGATTTAATGATGTATAAGTTATATGATCGGTTGATGATTAAGAAAAATATGAAAAAGAGTGTTTCCTACGTCATTGGGTTTAAAAAGTGAGTCTAATTTGAAAATGGCTAGTTGCTGTGCAGGCATATGGGCTCATTTCAAGGCTCATTTTGATGATCTAAACCGTTCAAATTTTAAAGTACATCAAGTAAAACATACCTGTAAAAAATAAAATTAATCGGACATTGATAACCATTTCATCGAATTGCATTTGTATCTACAAAAATAAATGATATTTGTGATTTAAAATATAAAAATGAATATAAATGTGAATGGATGAAAGGGTTAACGATATCCGATTAACTTGATTTTTTATAGGTAAGTTTTACTCGATATACTCTAAAATATGAATAATGTAGATTATCAAAATAGAATCATATTGCCGCACAACAGTGACTGTTGTGTCTCCTGTACAACAACTCTATCTCCATCTAATTTTTAGATCTGAATAACAATATTCATTGTTAAAATATATTATACTATGCCTCCGTTTGGGAAGTGGGTTGGCTTTTTGGCTTTTTTGGCTATTTTAGCCTGGGGTTAAAAGCTTGGTTTGGGAAGGGCTTTTTGACTTTTTGGCTTTTTTGAGTTTTTTTGTGAGAGAAGAATGTAATGATTATGGGTTGGATGTGATGTTTTGTTTGTTATGGCTAAAATAGCCTATTTTGTTTTTTGTGGCTAAAATAGCCAAAAAAGCCTGCAAACCCACTTGCCAAACACAGGCTATATAGTGTTTGACACTATATACTCGAAACCAAGATCACAAGTACAGCGAAGAAAGCCTTTATTACTTGAGTAACATATTTTATATATTTATTTATTTTTGTCATTGTTTTTATAATCACTACAACAAAAACATACTTTAGTGGTACTACACTAGTGGCATATTTTTAGAAAATGTCACAAAAAAATGATATTTAGTGGCACGTTTTTGAAAAATGCCACAAAACGACAAACATAAAAGGCTCTAGTGACATTTCAATGAACAAGTGTCACAACACTACAACAAAAACATATTTTAGTGACACCATACTAGTGGCATGTTCTTAAAAAATGTCACAAAAAGAATATTGGTGGCATTTTTTAGAAAAATGTCATAGAGCCACAAACATACAAGGCTCTAGTGGCATTTTAATTAAAAAAAGTGTCACTTCACTACAACAAAAATGTCACTACAAAAACTTTTTATGAATATTTGCAATGGCATTTTTAAAAAAATGTCAGGATACTAGGTAGGTACAAATTACTTTTTATGGCACTTAGGTGAAAAGTGTCATAAACAAATATTTTATAGCATTTTGAGAAATGCCACTAAGCCAAAAACTTTCCAAGCTTATAATGACATTTTTGAAAAAACAAAAAATGCCAATATATTTTCTAAATTTTTAAAATGCAGTAAATAATTAAAAATAAATGAATTAAACTCAATATACACTACAGGAAAAAGCATATTCAGCGACTAAATTTCCTGACCAAAAAAATTTGGTCGCTGAAAGTATAG